TGTATGGTGCAAGTAAATGCACAAATACTTCCTCTTAATTCATGACATCACAAAAGTACTCAATCAGAGGAGTAAACATTCTGCGTATAACAGTATTTCATAGATGCGTAATCCGATGTACTACTGAATGGTAGACATGAGTAGTTGGGCACCATACACATCAACCACTAGTGCTTGCTAATCAGATCGAAGTCATCTAGATACCGAATAAACAGAAATTTCCTTTTGCTTGAGGCCAATATCAATAGCGCAGTATCGGGTTGGACTCAGCTCAGATAGCTGAATCATCTGAAATTACCCCATTTCTAGCTGGAAGATTGTACGCGCTGGTTATTGAGCTGACATCGGTTACTGGACACCTGTTTCGTCCTATTTTGAGACTCTTCATCAGTACACACCCACTTCCAAGGTTCGAACCCAAAGACCCTCTGGTTATAAGCCGAACAACTGGTAGACCATTAAGTCACTGGCACCCAATCCAATGGCCAGTCCAGGAATTCTAACTTCTGCCAATTCATGACATTGCACGACTACTTCGCAATGTTTCCTTCGATAATTTACTGCCAAACTTTCAAACTCCTGTACCCTACTGGTCATGGCTTCTCACTAGAACCTTAGGTCAAGTGCCTGAATAGAGCCAGTCGCTAGTGAGCATGCGATTAACTTTCAAGTATTCCTAATTCAAAAAAATGGAATTCGCAATTTATAAACACTGTAAATAATCTTGTTTTCACATAACACCACCCAAAGTTACTTGTACAATTTAACACTAAAATAATACTGTTTATCCAAAAAGGTGGCACTTCGAGAGCGTGAAAAAGTTCAGAGTAGATTTCCACAAAAAGTACAAAGAAATATGAAAGGGTAAAAGAACATTCAACCTTTAAGAATGAATACATCTATTACAAAAAGGACGGATATTAAAACTTATTGTTCAAATCACGCGTAAAAACAGTCTTTGCAAAGATAAAGGTGGAGAGCAGGGAATATTGACTGATGTCTCCTAACAAGATAAAACAGAGCATATGTGATGAAAATTTGTGATACATTCGTTATCTAAAATCAGTGTATAAATAGCTGTATATTCTAGTGAACATAGACAAGACGCGGAGGTTATGAAAATAACCAACCAACCAACCAACAAAAACAACAGCAGCAACATCCAGCGTCAATCACCATCAACAGGAGGGATTTGAAAGAGGTCACTTCATTCACTTATCTAGGGAGCATTGTCTCAACTACAGGAGGAGCGGACGAGGATGCCAAATCGAGCGAGAATCGGAAAGGCGAGAGAGAAACACATTCATCAATCTTAAACTAATCTGGAAATCTTCGTCACTCAGCCAGAATCAACAACAAAATTCAGATTTTCAATACAAACGTAAAGTCAGTTCTTCTTTACGGATCAGATCAGAAACTTGGCGGTCGGGTCACAAAGAATATTTCCAGCAGGCTATTGCAGACCTTTAATTTTTTTATTTTTTTTATTTTTGATGACAGCTTGATCCCACACTGTATTTTTGGTACAAGTATGGAATTTTCAGCATGGATATCGGTAGCCCGAATTTTGCAAGCCGACCATAGATATCAGGTGTCCGTCGGCAGGGGATCGAACCTCAGACCATGTGCATGGTGTGCTAGAGTCTTAACCACTGTGCCACCGACGCACAACTGTCTTCGCTCTATACTGAATATCAGATCAGATGGCCGGGCCGGAATGAATCACGAACCTACAGATCCAGTATCATCCCAGTTACAACATGTGTGCTTTCAGGTATCAAACACTCCCTTATTATGTAAGTGAGAAACCTTTGTGGACAGCGATTCGAAGAACCTTCTTTGCTTGATATTTACATATCACATCCTCTTATTTAAAAAACATCAAAGACAGTATTTCGCTACTAGAAGTTTCAAAAATTATTTACCAGTTCATCTGGTCCTGTGAAGTCAAGTACATTTGTAGTAACAGCACGGCATTGTCTAGACATGCCCATTAACACTTACCGACATGATTGTCAAAATAAGAACGCAGAACAGTGAATCTCTCGATTTTGAAGCACATAATTATTTCTGGTCACACAGTATCAGCACACTATAGATTCCTAATTATATAAAAAAAAATCACGATCAAGCCTTTCAAAAGGGATTTGACTTACTCATGCTTCATGCAGTTGGTGCTCTTGCAATCCACAGGTAGAAACCTGAACTTCGTGTTCAGAAACATTCTGTCCAGACTCTTTGACTACCGTGATCTTAATGTTAAATTGTTTTCCAGAATGATTGTATCATAAACTCTACGTGGTCGTCTTTTTTTGGAACTTTGTAACCCTTTTTCATTCCGTTGTTCTTTCGTTTATTATCAATTCTTTGCAAATGGTTATTCATCACTTCAGCAAATAATTGTCAATCCTCTTGATTACTTAAGATTATCCTCAGTCTTCCAAACATCGTGATTCCTCATACACTTTGATTTATTTCATATAGGCTGTTCCTTTTACTGGTTTAAATTTAGGTTCCTGGCATCTACTAAATTGGATTATTTTATCTACTTTATAATTTTATTTTTCTGTTCATCCCACCTCCCTAAACTCTCTATCAATTTTTTTTAATCCTTTTACGTTTCCAATGGAACATAAGGATTTCAGCTAGAGCTCTGAAGTTTCGGTAGCAACGGTGTTCATTTTTACGGGATGCGGTTGCTAGCCTCATACCAAACCTCCCCCTCTTGACCAGTCTTATTACTTACTGGCTTAGCGAGGTAAAGGAGTGCGACGGCTGGGGATAAAACCCCAAACTATATGTGTAGTTGGTGAACATTCTACCGTTGTGCCACTGACTCACAACTCTCTCTCTCTTTCTGTGTTGTTCGATCTTGTATTTTGTCTCTAGTTGATCCTTGTTTCTAAGGAAAATCTGAACTGTACCTCCTTATCTAATTACTATATAAACAGTTACTCTTTTAACACCAAATAAATGTCTACCTAAATTATCCCTGGGATTATGTTGCTTATGCTTTCTATCTATAACTTGAAGTCATCGTAAAAAGTGATTTCAGAAATTTTGTATACGATGTATGCAGTTGAAGAGAAGTCACGAAGTAAAACGAGCTCGTGATTATCCTGCAAATATCTTCATTATTTTTCGATTCAAAAAAATTAAATTTTTGATTTATTTTAGTACGTACTAACTGACAATAACCCCCAACCTGTTTTGTCAGTTAATATTGTGTACATAAGAAAAACCCACTAAATTATTATACAGCTTTGAAGTGAAGTTTAGGAAAAAGATCTCTGGTTCTTAAAAAAAAACACTTTGTTTAATACCAGTATATACACCACACTTTAAATTCTCATAACTACAGTTTCCCTTGGACCTTGACGCAAAATACTAAGCCGCATCATCCTGAGAGAATCAAACAAGCCAACCTGGATGAAAAACTTCGATCGGAACAGGCTGGATTCAGGAGAAACAAGTCATGTATTGATCAAATCGCCACTCTATGGAGCATCATTGAACGAAGCTTGGAATAGCAGTCACCTCTCCACCTCACTCAACTTCATCAACTTTAAAAAGGCCTACACCAGACAGCGTCGATCGACAGGTGATTTGGCAACTACTTCGTTACTACGGGGTGCCACCGACAATCATACATCTCATCCAACAGTTGAATGGCAATGATGCATGCCAAGTTATCCACAACGGGGAACTCACGGAATCCTTCGAAGTGAGGATGGGATTGAGGCAAGCTGGCTGTCTACTATCGCCAATTATCTTCCTGATTGCAGTAGATTGGATAATGAGACAGAAAACCGGCAATGAGGAAACAGGCATAAAGTGGAAATTATATGAAGCCTCCGTGATTGATACAATGGTATCTCTTGAAGATGTAGTCTAAAAGGCCAGCGAAATCTTCGCGAAGAAATCCACCAGCTCAGAGAACACAATCGAATAGAAATAATCTACTTAAGCTATAAGCCTCTATTGATTCATGTTAATTAGTGATGAAGATTCCTGGCCAACACCAACAACAGACAACAATCAACCAGTATAAATGGGAGGAACCTGAAAGAAACGACCTCCTTTACCTACCCACCTACCTGGGAAGCATCGTTTCAACTACAGGCCGACGGAACTGACGAGGATATCAAAGCCAGAATCGGAAAAGCAAGACAAGCTTTCATTACTCTCAAGTCTGTGTGGAGGTCAACAGCACTCACCATCAAATATAACATCCGGATTTTCAACTCCAATGGGAAGCCAGTCAGTGCTACTCACTATACGGATCAGAGACTTGCACTGCGCGTCATAAAGAGCATCTCAAACAAACTACAGACCTTCATTAACAGTTGTCTTCGCTCAATACTCCACTGAAGATCAGATGACCGGCCAGAAAAGATCAGCAACAGTGAGGGATCTCTGGCAATGAGTGGACCGACCCAGTAGGCACGGATTGTGAAACAAATATGCAGGAAGAAATGGAGATGGATTGGCTGGTCATACTCTGAGAAAACAAGTCATCAAGTGACATCACTAGAGAAGCCATTGCTCGAGTGGACCCAGATGGAAAGGGAAGCGGCGAGTTGGTCGCCATCGCAAGGGTGACTTGGAGGAGGTGATGTGAAGAGGAGATGAATGCGTGTGGGCGGACTTAGAGTGGGGTGAAAACGCTGGCAGAGAACAGGACGCAATGGATACGCGCGGCTGAAGCCTTACGTTCCTCTAGGAATTAAAGGGTATAATAATAATAGCTACAGTTTCCCTTAATCAGAATGCAATAACTTTTTGAGTTTCTTTCAGTTCAGTAAAATTCTTTACTGATGTATTGCAATCTTTCTATTATACTTCGTCAAAATACAAAAGATTTTTTCAGATAATATCTAACACTCTAATATAATTTCAGATTTCCTGAGTGTTATTCATTGGAAATCAGTGGATATCATATAATACAAAGACACATTTATTTTTAAAAAAAATATACATCTACTAAAAGTATGCAAAAATTATTTCGGTTCTCGCATTCCTGCAGCATTTAAACTACCCGCATATATATTATCCAAATTAACCACTTTGCTCATTTGTCCATCTTGATTTTCTTGTAGTGGTTGAGGTGAAGGTACTTGTCCTTGTCTTATATCCGCCATATTCGTGTTTACAAAATATCGTCTCCATGGTTGTTGTGGATAATTACATGTTAAAGATGGATAAGGTGAAAATAGAGAGAGTTGTACACATTCAACGATTGAAGCAATTGATTTTAAACCATATTGTCTTACATTATTTATACACTCTCCAGGTTTGAGGAAAAGATATGAACCCAGGAATCCAGGTTGTCTATAGGAGAAAGATATAAAACAATATTGTAAATTAATGTGGATATTATTTGTAAAAGTTTATCCTTAGACAGTATTGACTTACTACCAGCTACGCAAGGTTTAGCAGTGCTTCGGTTAGAGATTGAACGCCGAAACACATACATGTTTGGCCTTTATTTTACCACTAGATCTGCTACAGTTATTAGAATTTGCTTAAGTTGCCCTTCTTTCCTAGTCTGACAAGGAGGTATTTGTTCCAACTGGTGGATACTTTTTCTCTCTTCTCTCTAAACTATGTGCAATGTAGGAGCATAGGACTAGGTAATTGTAGCTTTTATACTTTTTCATTTAAACCTTACTGTATATTCTTGGAGGTGAATGTTTCTCACATCATGAGGGTCTTCAACACTGTCAGTGACATTATAACAACCACTGTGTCAGCGTGCTAATAACTATTGTCTGTGTGACTAGAGTGGATTACTGACAATCCAGTTAACAATATTATGAGAGTTCACTTCCAGTCCATTTGCTCTCATAGATTCCCAACATGTCTTGCCAGGCCAGTATCAAACTTACTTTTACTTCTATCTAAAGAAAATGAATCGATGCACCGGTTTTTCGGAAGATTTCTAAGGCCAGAGTCGTTCTACCTCCCTGATTCCATCGAAGAATATACGTGTCTACTTTTTAAATAAATTTTTTTCTGTGCTTCGAAATTTCTGTTGATTTTTCTGATGTAAAGTCTCTAGTCTCACGCCTAACCTTCACTTTTTCCAGGGACTAAGTTAAGTAGACGTCTCTCACATTATCCTGATGAGTTCTCTTTATGTATTCTCCGAAATACCTTAAACCGTCAACCCAATAGTTTACTGAAATGCTTCTCATCTGGACGACTTTAGAAAATGACTGGATGTAGTCTAATTAACAGCGAACTTCTTTAGTTTCAATACTGATTCGCCACAGACTATTATTGCTGTATTTTGAATATCACAATTTATAAGTTAGCTCCTATTCTTCTGAATATGAGTAAAATGAAATTCAGACGTTAGGTTTTGTAGGAATTTTGACTAATTTCAGTGGTAAGATTCCATCAGGCACCAGCACCAATCAGAACAACATCTGTAACCAAGGAACACTCGATAGTTCCTTCAATCTTGGTTTGAAATTCCTAAGCAATACTAACCGGTGACCCTAACTGGGAATCGAATGCAGGACCCTCAGGCTTGGAGACCAACCCTTCGATTATTTAGCGGAATGGGTTGGAATTCAATAAGCCATGAATTCTAACCTCCGGTAATTCGTCACATAGCTCTGCTGCTAACCAATACCAGAAATGTTTATTCACTTCACCTTGAAAAGGTGAACTCTATACATCACGACTTCTTCTTAGAACTTCAGGGCATCCACCAAGTAGTCACTGATAAGCTGGAGATTGATGTTTACAATTTCGATTTTTTAGACATATAGACTAATTTCAGTGTAGATTTCTTCACAAACGCAGTAACTAAATAGTTGACAGCTCTTCATCGTAACCTGAAAATCCTAGGTCCGATTCCTGGTTAGGTTATTAGGGCTCAGTGTTTAGAAGTTACGAACTAGCACAAAGAAGTGGTTGGCGCCTGACAAAATCCACATGAAATGAAATGATTATGACTGAATATTGAATTGTGACCAATAACTGTAAATATTTCATATGAATCAATAAAACCTTTGATAATTAATCATTGCCTAATACTAAATATCTAAGTAATCCTAACCAACTTATATATGAACTTACTCATATGCTACCCAATATCTTGATTGTTTATACCATACATTTTGTGGAGCACACATTGACAGTGTAGTCCATATTTGAAATGGTGACAATAATTCATTAGAATTACAAAAATCAGACCAAAAACCATTACGAAAAGCTTCACTGTATATCCTTAAACATTCCAAATGAATGTATTCTCCAGCAAGTAATCTGGATTGATTACCTGATGTAGTTGAACTGATACTGTCGGGTATGACATAAGCTGTAATGTATTGTACAGATATGAATATCAGAAGGAGTGTAATTATCAGTAAATCTATTCGACGTAGCATATTTTCATCGGTTTATTCAGTGAGAAAAGTGGTAAATTTATACTGCTATATTAGATAAAGGTCAAACAGAATTGACCAATAATAAGTGAGAATTTTCAGAAAACTAATAAACTAACCATAACAATAATAATAATAATAATAAAACTGGAAGTAATCCTTTCTAAATTAGAATCTTGAGACTTGTTACCATTAAACTTTAATGAAAACAAAACACAAAGTTCAGCGAAGGGTCGCTTCTTCGCGAATTTATTCATTTAGATGTACAGTCACATATTATGTATAATTATTCTTCTATATATATGTATATATATATATATAAGGTTCATCAGACAAGAATAAAAATTAGTTACGCTGCTTGTTACGTCATCGAAATATTTCAAAAATGTGATCAATAAGCAAATTACAACGTCACAGGAAGCAGGCGGGGAGATTAGTAAGAGGACTAGTGGTGAATAGTTGTCAGAAAATACCACAAATGCTAATCTTAGTCAGTGCACAGAACAAGTTCACTAAGTAAGTGTGTATTGCAGTTTCGTAATCAGGCGAATAGTTGAATGAGTCAGTTGTGATCAGGATCCACATAGAAGCAAAGGAAAACACTGAATTCTGCGAAGGTGAGTTCTAAAGAAATACAAGAGTTATAAGGAGTTGAAAAAATCAACGAACAGACATCAAGTTAGTAGAAATCAACACAGTTGTCCCCATGATAGTAAGAGTGATTGAATGATTTCTTCTTCTATGCATAAATCTGACTTTTGCCAACTGAATGGCTAAGACTTCAGAAATGCAGAGGACACAAAAGTGTATCGCCTTTGGTAGAGTTATTCTTCACCTTATAGATCACTTTGAAAGAGGAGACTTTTATTGAGATGGAATGACAAGTGTTGACAAGATGGTCGATTTTTGTGGTTCCGATACAGCCACTATTACTTTTATTTGCAGCCATGTGAAAGTGTTCTCGAACGCTTTTTGGATAGAATATGCGTCGAACGACCAATGCACCTGACACCGTAGCAACAGGTGAAGTGATATCGGCAAACAGGAATGGTTGGATGCGAGATCTTATCCTCGAGACTTCTGCAGACGAATGAACTAGTGAAGAATACTAGTCTTAGTGTTTCTGTGAAGTATGTACTCCTCAAAGATATGAAGTGACCACAATCTCTACCATATAACACTGAAATAAACGTCGAACTATTTCCTTCTGGAATAATTTCAAACTAGAATCATTCTTAATATATGTGTAAAACTTGGTCATTGTGGTAGTAATTCCCTATTAGTTTGTTTATCAGATGTATCACCCACTGAAACAGTATTCTGTACTAGATGACACAGTTTCCAACAAAATTTATCCTGGTTCATAATCATATCTATTAGAATCACACGCCTTCAACTTCGAAATTTCACTTTGATAGTTTCCTCACTTCCCTCCTATTTGTCGTCGTTGGTGTTGTGGAATTTTCCAGATGTCCAACTGGACAGGTGTTGAATCATTCCTGTTACACGTATTTGCAGTTGATTCGAGAAACATAGCCTCAGTCAGTCATCAATCTTTCTCTCTCTCCACCTAGCTGTTACATTAGATTTCCAAACTTTCATCTCATCCCATCCGTCCTATTGTATGATTGTGTGTAATTGCATGTAGTGAGTGCTATAGCTGAACTACTCGATACATTTCCTATCTTATTCGTGCCAACTAATCTAGATTTCGCTGATAGGTGTTTATGCTCGGTTAGTTTGACTCACTGAGCCTGTTCCGCTACTATTTCGACCTATGTATTTGACCTGATAATCGACACAGTCAGAGTATTAGATAAACTGAATTGTCTTGTTTAATTGGCTCCACAGGATTGTTTCTTTAGCCGACATAGCTTGTTTCTAATTGATTTTGTGGAGGGTTTGAATTCCGGACACTTTCATTCCTGCCTTGTTCAGAATTCTGCGTAAGATTTCTGAGGTTCTTTCCCTGTATGCAATTACTACTGATGACTTAGATTCCTCATTCTTCGTGTTGTCATTATCTTCCGCATGTTTCACATGCATGTCGTTATTAATATTATTCAGTTACACACAACCATGCAATAGAATGCATGGGATGAGATGACAGTTTCAAAATCTAATGTAACAGCTAGGTGGAGAGAGAGAAAGATTGATGACTGACTGAGGCTTTGTTTCTCGAATCAACTGCAAATACGTGTAACAGGGATGATTCAACACCTGTCCAGTTAGACATCTGGAAAATTCCACAACACCAACGACGACAAATAGGAGGGAAGTGAGGAAACTATCAAAGTGAAGTTTCGAAGTTGAAGTCGAGTGATTCTAATAGATATGATTATGAACCAGGATAAATTTTGTTGGAAACTGTGTCATCCAATACAGAATACTGTTTCAGTGGGTGATACATCTGATAAACAAACTAATACAGAATGATTCTTTCTAGTCATAGTTTATTGTATGAAGTGGAATTGCTTCACAGATCCCAAATTAAAATTTCTTGAACTGACGTGACTCAGTATTTAAATAATATATTATATATATATATATATATATATATAATATTAAACTTGAACGTAGTTTACTCTACCAAACAGAAAGCTTCTGACGACAATAAACATTTATTGTCAACTGAGGGTCAATCTATGTTTAGAGGGTACACATGAGATCCATTCATTTTATGAATTACCTACAGCTGCATAGAAAATCATAGTTCACAGTAGGTTTGCAAAAGCAAACAATGAAATGCTAGACATTAGAAGAAGATAATAGGTGAGAGATCGTGGATCTGCGTTCTGTGCTTGTTGGCGATCATAAGAAGTCAAATATTCAAATCGCGGGATTCAGATTCACTTCAGTATTGAGCTAAATTCCGAGAAAACAATACTCATTACAGTGAGAATTATTTTCGTGTTATTCGTCTTAGAGACAATCTAGTTTATTTGGTTTTGTAGGTTGAAGTCAAAACACCTCTTATTTTCCTTCAAGCTCCCCAGTGGAACATAGTGCTTCAAGCTAGTGGCTTGAAGTTTCTGTAGCAGTGTGGTTAGCCGTATGCCCAACCTTTTGACTCTTTACCAGCATTATTTCTGGCTCAGCGAGGTAAAGGAGTTCGTCTGTGGCCAGGGATCGAGCCCCGGGTCATGTGCGTGGTCGGCGAGCGTCCCAACCGCTATACCACCGACGCCAAGCATGGAGTTGACATGGGGCATCAGACGGCTCAGGCTAGTCCACATGGCAAGAAGCACGCAACGCTTATCATCATAAGTGTAATGAGTATTCTGTTAGAAGGATATCATCATCATAGATTTCGACATGTGCAACCGCAAAAACACCTTAGGCTAAGATAATAAATAAAGTTCGCATAAAGTTTACATGGATTAAAAATTACATCGAAGATTTTAGGTGATGATGATAAAAGATGATAGATTTCGCATCTAAGTTCTGTGCGGGTTGCCGATTATCAACAAGTCATGCACATCTACAATACTTAGATTCAAATGTACCATAACACTGATGTAAAATTAAGAGCAGTCAGTATATGCATCTCGTGGCATTAAGCTTACTGAATAACACTGCAAACTTGACGGATACATTTCAGTCTTCAGTTAACAAAGAACTAGATATATGATACTAGATTCTGTCCAATCAAAGAACTACACTTTTTCGATAAATTGAAATCAAAACACGTACAATTAAGATGTTTAAACTGATTATCTTCTATGAATACTAGATAAAATAGCATATTCATTTTAAAGTCAAATTAACGCTAATCAAATCTATACAAAAAGTTATCCAAATCTTCATGATAAACTAACCATTATCTATCGATAGAAAGACGAATAATACTGGAGTATAAGCATCGAATTAGAAAGAAAGACTTGACTTTGACCTGATGTAAACTGTTCATGTGTTAAAAGATTATCAAGTCTCTCTCTCTCTCTGTACACATTGATAATAAATAAAACAATGATTTCACATGATATGAAACGAAAAATGAGATAAAAATATACAGAGTCATTTGAAAACTAGGCAGTTAGAGTTGTATTTTGTTTTTAAAAACAAGGCGTCATAGCATGCACGATTAACTTCGATTAAAACAACAAGACGAGATTAAATTCATCTGACACGTGTAAACAATCTACTGAACGTAACACATTTCAAACATTTGAATCACACATGTATTTGTCATTTATATATATATATATATATATATATATATATATATATATATATATATATATATATATATATATTGACATAAAATTGAACATTGAATGAAAAGTTAAAGATTGCATCACTACTTTCAGTCAGTGTAAATTTAAAACAAGCAATAAAGGTTGTAACTACAAAAGTAGTAATAGTGCTAAAGTGAGTTAAGATAATCCTACTGATAAAGGATAGTTTAAAATGAATCAAGAATAATAATAATAAGTAAAACGTATTACCATGGTAGAGTCACGAACATTTCTTTTTGTACACAGTGACCTGGTTTATAAACTTGAATTGCATAAGCCTCTGCAATTGCAAGCATCTTCTTGTTTCTTTGTCTGCTGACAATAGTGAATGATTTGACCACGTCGATATCATGTCTGTAATCCACAGGCTGTTTTTTTTATTAAGGATTTTGGCACCTTGCATTTAGTTGTTTTCAACCATTTTGGCAAATGCTACATCATGCGAGGAGACAATCGCCTTTATGCATGACCTATGTATTTGCTTTCACAAACACACTAATCAAATTGATATACGCAGTTTGAAGTGTCAAGGGTTGGCGACTGGTCTTTCCCAGATTGTTGAAGCACTCGCTTACTGGTGTTAAGGAAAACAAGTTTTTCAGCATAATAAGTTCTCTTGACAGCTTTGTTGAGTCTTCGTTTGACTAATTCTTGTATATCAACTCCTTTGAATGGCAAACTGATATAGACAGGTTTCTTCGGAACTGTTTGGACTGTTTTGCAGGGACTAATTTCTTTAGAGTATTTATTAATGAATTTCTCAGA